CTCTAGTACCACTAGTTTTAAATTATATTGAGATGGGCTATGAGAAAAGGGCATATGTGTTAACATGTGAATGGAAATAAATTGTGTGTGGTAAGTTTGATAACATAAGTATAAAATGTATTACATGAGGGTAAATGATTATGGAATGAATCCACTAAAAGTTTATTAGACAATAAAAACATCAAATTGATATTTATACAACTTCATTTTCATATAGTACATTGACTTTTCCATAGGCTGCTCTAATTATGAAAAATGTTTGATTTTTTAAATAATTGTTCCCTGGAAAAAAAGGATCTGATATTTCCCAGGGAATAACACATTCTAATAATTCCTTGCTTTCCAGGTGTCCCAATCTTTTATTGATGATGATCTTCATCTTTCTGATTCTTTCTTTCTATCTTTCATATTCTTCTTTCACAATTACTGTTAGAGCTGTCACGTAATGTTACAACATCTGGGTTTCTAAATCCTCTGGAATTTTGGGATTATTTTCTTTTTCAATCATCCAGGAACATTTAAACAACAGAGCACTCACTTGCAGGAGCCATTAAAGAATGTGACCCCTTATGCAAACTATAAGTTTCATCACTCTCTGACACAGGGAGTGATGAAACATATAGTTTGCATAAGGGGTCACATTCATTAATTCTAACCTTTACTTGATCACAATTCTTAATTACTGTCATTGCTTTTTGATACAATTTAGCTTGCTTTTTGATACAAGAGCTCAAGAAAGCATACACAGATAGTGTAGCTAAACCTGCTTGCTGGTCATTTTTGAGGAATGGTTATCTTTTTTCATTGCATTTTGCAAATTTAGCATTCTCCTTGTATTAAGGCAGTTACCTTGACTCAGAGATAGAGTTTTGTCTTTAGTTCTTATCTCTGTCTTCAACACATGTTCACACGACATGCACTCAGTGCTGTGGTGTTTAGTATGTTATAGAAGAGGCACACAAGTCAATTTCTAGTTGATATACTGCAATAATACTCATGAGTAATTTGAGCTAACAGATTAACAACACACAACCATTTGAAATCTACCATATTATTTCCTAAAGAGACACAGAAAGATTTTCAATAGTTTGTTTCATGGAGTTCTAAAGGACTCTGAAAGAGGGGGAAAAATATTTTCAGCAAGAATAGCTGCTAAATTTTTTTTAGTGATCCTTTTCTAGTGCAATAAGGAAAAATATTAATTTAGAAACAAACTGTCACACAGATAGTTAAACAAATTCATTAAATAAATAGAAAATGCATAGTGGGATACAAAATGAAATTAATTGTTTAAAAATAACTGCAACAAATTCTAAAGATCTCAGTAAACTGAAATTCATGTCACTTTCAGTATAGAAAGCTTGCCAAGAAGTGTTCTTAAGATTATTACTTTGTATGTATCTTACCTTGTATCATAATATGAACAGTTAAAAAATTGAATTACAGAGATATTTAGTTAAATTTCTCTGTCAGTTGGTCATTTTATGTAAATTACAGAATTTTATACATATTCAAAATTTGTTTTAATTTACAAGATATTTTGACATTTTCTTTCCTTAAAAAACAACCTTTCTTTGGTCATCCCTAGATGGTATTTTCAATTACTGCTTTAATAATGTTGTGCCACAGTATACCCCCTTTTGTTGGTCATATCCAATTGCTCTAACTCATTAATTTGACCTTCTGTGTTAGCATAATTAAATGTGAAAAATAACATTCCTCTAATAAGAGCTATACTAGCATTTGGAATTACTGCAATGATTTTGTTAGGTTTTATTTCATTAAAAACTATGTCAAATTCTTACCAGGGTTTCCTTAAAATATTCACATACTTGAAGAAAAATGAAATTCTAAATTCTTTTTGTTTACTGGTAGAAGTTCTGTATTGTAATGTAAAATTATGTTCTGAACGTGAAAATAGTATACATTCTTTTTGTATGTTTTAATGATTTCTCAATTTTTAATTGTCAAGGTCTTATTTAATATTAGACGTTTGCTAAATAAGCATCCTGTTGTTATATAATATCACACATTTTCATAATTTTCAAAAGGAAAAGGCTCTATGGGCTGTGAGGCAATATGCAAGAATCAATGAATATTGAGTGGATTCTCATGGGTTAAATAGTGATTCAAAAGTCATCTACTTGTCTCCTTTGTGCTTGAATATGCTTATTTGCCTAAAACAACAATACAGAAATAGATTGTACAGAAATTCAAGGATTGGGACTGAAGTCACAGACACTATTTTTTTCTAAAAGAAATGTTATCGAATCTCACAGTTTTACTTGTCAAGTGAAAAATTATCCTGTTCTAATGTGTGTTCACAACAATAGATTATTATTACTTACTTAGTTCATGGATAAAAAAGTTCACAGTTCAAAAAGAGAATTCCCACAACTAATGCCCCAAATGACAAGTAAATTCTCTCAAAAATCTCCTCTGCAAACCTCAGTAAAAGGAGAAATAGAAAAGCATAAAAGCAGCATTTTAACATATGTTTCAAAATAGAGAATAGCTTAGATCTGAATAAATCATAAATATCACTCAAGAAGCATAATATTTTCTGAACTGTAGTACATATTCCTGGATAAATCTTTTATCTGCATTACTCCGAGAAAAAGTTCAAATATTTTTCTAAGAGAAAAACAATATTAAAATTCAGTAAGTTATGTGTCATAAGATTGCCCATTTTGATGTAACTGCAGCACAGACTACAGTTTTGGAAAACTTTCCACTCATTCTGATTACACTAAAAGGAAATACATGTACAAAATATTCATATCATTTTATTAATATTACTTTTTCAGGTACACTCACAAAATAGTTTACATCCACATTGAACACATCGTTATTTTAATATTTTTCTCCCAATGTTTCCACTGAATAATACTTTTATTAAGACACTGTGCAACAAATTGCAGTTCTTTTCTATTCATTCGTATAAATTTAACTTGTTAAAGATGGCTAAATGTATTTAAAAGATCTGACAAAATGAACACCAAACTTACTTCCATTGTTTGTTAAATTGTTAGAGTACATCAGACATCATATGATAACAGTATCATATTTAACATTACAAATGGTCTCGGAAATTATAAAAACAAAAACTAATACCCGAATTTTGTGGACTAGAGATGACAGATAATCTTTCTACAAATCTCATTTAGAAACCACGAACATAAAATTGTAACATATGGGTGGAAGAAAAGAACTACTTAGTTACAAATATATTTATGAAATAAAATATGAATAAAACGACAATGACATTGCATCAAAGTTAATCATTGACTAATCTATAAATATTTGTACATACAGACAAAAAAACAAAACATTATGTAATACTCTTAGAACTAGGACTAATTATGGCATACTTCATGACACAAAAACATTTATTGATATATTTCACAGAGTAATTAATTTTCCCTTTAAGAATTTATGAAGAACACGGATAACACAACATGTGCAGAATACAACACTAAATGAGTCAAATGGCACCAATGTACATTACTGAGTATCTTAAGAAGTTTCTTGTTGGCTTTCTTGATTTTCAATAATGAAATTATAAAAATTCATAATGGCAAAGTAAATGTTTCCTTACCAAAATAAGTAAAATATACAAGAACAAAGTTAAAAAAGGTAATTTAAATAAACTATCCAAAGATAACATATTACACAAGTCATTTATGTGTATAATTTCTTAAAAAAACTTATACAACTTCTGAAAATGTCTTTCTATATTCAAAATGAAGTGAAAGTTCATTAAAATATACTATCCAAAGATAACAACATATCACACTAGTCAATTGTGTGAATAATTTATTAAAAAATTATATAACCTCTGAAAATTTCTTCATATTTAATATACAAAAATAAAACCTTCCTTTGCTACTTGGAAGCATTTATATCTATTTATGTAGTCAAAATAAGGACATCTCAAAAATTCTCTAAAGCTACATATCTAAAAAGCTCCAGGAAAATAAATGCAGAGGCATTACTAAAAAATAATAATCTGCCTGCTACAATAGGTTGCACCTACATATTCCATATAAATCTACATCAGATCTACCCAGTACAAGTCAAATATCTTGACAGCACATTAAGTCATTTCAAATGCTGTACACTCACAGCAATACATATACATACAGTAAAACCTGTCTATGATGGACCCTCTATAAGAAAGTAAGTAGGAAACCTGCTAAGCCAAACAAAAAAGTCAGAGAACAAAACAAATTTATAAAAGAAAATGGCTTCTCACAACTGGAAATATGCTTCACATACTTATGGAATGATTTTAAGAGAACTACAAGGGGCTATAGCACACAAAAGAATTTTTTTTCTTTCTGGCACCTTGGGAAAGGCAAAGCATTTGAGTTCACAACCAAGGACAACAGACTGAACAATGAAGTTTACCATATTCTCTGGTGACTCATTTGGTTATGTCTTTCTGGAAAATCTTAAGTCCCTTGGTTTGAGAAAGTGTGGTGAAATAAATGCATGTGCATTAATTTCTCTATGCTTTTCAATTAACCCTTTTCTTCTTACAATTTCGATGTTCATATGACATGAAAGACCTTCTATTTTCATTGTCTCAGTCTCCTAATTACATTGAAAATGTATTTAAGTAACGAATTTTTGGCGATCTGCTACATGACGGATACTTGCTGAAATGTTCCGCCTTAAACAAGTTTTACTGTTTATAATATCGATTACATGATTCAGCAATGCGATACAACCAATTAATTGTTTATTAAATGATTACTTAAAAAATATTATGGTATTTCCTCTCTGCTGAAATTTTGGATTAAAATTATTGAAGTTAAGATTTATTCAAGAGTCATTACCCTGTGCCAATCCCTTAAAACAAGAACAGATCTCTGGAATCTCAATTATTAAATTATTTAATATTTTGTACACTTTGCTTCATTCTTCCCTCAAATTACTATGTAAAGTACATAGATCTCAATATTTCTACAGTATAATTTCTATAACATGGATTTACATTATTCAGAATTAGAAATGACAAGATTTAACTTTGGCATCATTTGCTTAAAAAAATTAGGAGCAACTTCGTCTATGCCATCTTTACCAGAAATGTGCAAGTACTTGAGATTTTTTAAGAGTTCTGGAATCATTATTATATCTTCAAAGTACAAGCGAGGAACATTCAGCACCAACTTTTCCAACAATCTGAGATCAAAACACAGCACAAAAGCTGTATTAGTTAACTTGGTGCATCCCATTAGACTCAATAATTTCAAATTTGTGCATTTAACAATGTAAGATACACCTCTATCTGTAATAGATGAACAATGATCACATATTAATGAAGTCATGGACCTAAGTAGAAATATGGACTCAAGGCATTCATCTGTCAGACCTTTAATTTTTTCAAAGTGCACAACCTGCAAATTGACACAATTCTCAAAAATTGCATTTGCAAGTTGTTTATCAAAACTTCCAAAAGATAAAAGATCCAGTTTTTTCAGCTTATGGACAGGATTTGTAACAAAATAAATAATGAAATCTGTTGTATTCCATGCAATCTCATTTTCAGAATTATATGCCTCATATTTTCCATGTGAATCAATTGTCAAAGCTTCCAATTCTGTACAGAAACTAATGGACGAAATTATACACTTCTCTTCATGGAAAAAGCAGCATCGCAATGACAATGCACGGATTTTATTACCTTTTGTTTGTAAGAAATACACTAGATCATTAGAAGCGTAATGTGTAAAATATTGTACATTAAAAGATTCAAGAAGCGGACAACCAATTGCCACTGCTTGAAATAAGTTAACTTCCTCATTTGAACCGTAACCAGATAATTTAACATGCTTCAAATTTTTGCATTCACTAATAATATCTAAAGATTTGGTAGTTTCAAATTTGAAATAATCTATTTCAAGAGATTCGACATTGGGACATTCTCTGACTAGTTTGCGAACTAAATTGTCTTCAACTTCAGAAATGTAAAGTTCTCTGACATCCTTACAATAATCTATAAGAGTTTCCAAAATCTTTCTAGTATACAAATACCATGGCACTGGCCATCTTAAACTAGGAGAACCTTTCAATATTTCAATAATTCTATCCTCTTTAGCCATTTCATCAACTGGCCTGAATTTCAAAGACCTCCAGATCCTTGAATCTTGTACCACAGCTCTCCATCTGTGGCAAACATTGCGAATATTTAATGCCAAATCCTCTATATTTAAGTAAGAAAAAATTGCTACAAGGATTTCATCTGGAAGGTCATGGATTCTTTTCTCACTTGACATGTTTAACAATTGAAACAATAAATAAAAAGAAACTTATTCAGAATAAGAAATATCAAGGTAGAGCCACTAGATTGTTCTAAGAAAATCAAATTATATATTCAAAATTCATTTGATGAAGACCCTTAATGTCACAAATTACACACTAAACTTCAAAATATTTATAACAATGCATGCTGACTGTTGACATAGCAGACGTGCATTACAATTCACTTCTTACTCGATACGCAACTTCCCACGATGTTAATGCCGGTGAAGTGCTTATGCAGATTTCAAGAATCAGTAGGAACTATATCAGTATACACAATTACTTCAATCATCCCAATGCATTTTATACAACACTGAATGGATTGTAATCACGGTGTATGAAGTTATGAATAATCACAAACAATGTTGATGCGACAAAATACATTGTCACAAGTAATGCGTTTGAACTTCTCGCATGAAAATGACAGGTGGCATTTCTTTGGCTTGCTTATATAGTGACTTGTAAGTAAACATGTTGCACAAATCATAGGCTTCAAAATACGTCATACAATCCACAAAACAGCAGTAATATTCCAGAATTGTACTTGATCCTTCTATGTGACATGTCAGCGTCACGGTTTTTCTTTTTATGGGCTTCAAATGCATTCATGTATTCGTTTTACCAACTTGGTAACATAACATTTGATGCAAATGACATAATTACGTTCATTCAGAAAGTAATATTAAGACTTTAAACTTGTTTGAATTTTTATCTTAAATAAATAAATATACAAGTATTATAAATTGATTTAAATTACATACAAATAAAAATACTGTTTCTCATTTGCATTTCAATTCACATTCAAAGACGTAATTTTTCACAGGTGGCCAAATTGACGTGACACAAGAAACAATCTGAGTATCGTTGTGCGTGGAAAAGGCGCGAAATATGATTCGATTCCATATTAGTTAATAATAATAATAATAATAATAATAATAATAATAATAATAATAATAATAATAATAATAATAATAATATTAATAAAAATAATAATATAATAATAAATAAAGTTGTCACATAAATGCAGCATATGCCATGTATGACAAGTCAGGGTATGTGTAGAATCATACAATACACAATACAGATATTTCTAAAAATTAAATACAAGATATAAATTAAATTTAAAATTCAATTATCGTATTAAATACAATATCATGGAAAGCTATAATATAAATTAGTATTAATTTTATAATGGTAGTGTAAGAAGACTTTGGTTAAAAATCAATAATAATAAAAAAGAAATTCTTCATAATTTGTGCATAGGCTGGGTCTGTCCATTATATCCAACAACCAGTTTAGGGGGGTTTGAAAACATGCAACAGAAACAGCAAAAATTATTAGTACTAGTTTATTTTGATGTAGATAGGCGTTTATGATGCATATATTCTTTTGTACTGTAGAATGTGTCATTTAAAGGAAAGCTTTCAGTTTATTTTTGAATGTATGTAACGAGTTTAAGCTAGGACATTTATAGAGTGGGTACCTTCTATAAGGGTACTTTTTTGAAAGAGTGAAGTTTCACAGTGTAGAACATGCAGATTTCTTTTTTGTCTAGTATCATAGTTATGAACTTCTGTGTTCAGAGTAACAGAATCATTGTTTCTCATAAGAGTCTTCTTTGTGAAGATTAATATTTCACATATGTACATGCATGGGAGTGGTAGTATTTGTAATTTTTTGAACAGTAGTTTGCAGGACTCATGTTTGTGAGTGTTTGTTATTGTTCTCAATATTAGTTTTTGGATGATGAAAGTGTGAATACTTTCTGGGGAATTTCCCCAGAATATTATTCTGTATTTTAGCTGTGAATGAACATTTGCAAAAGTACACCATTCGCAGTGTATCTAAGTTTGAATTTGACTTCAGGATGTATATGGCACAACATGCCTTGGTAGGCTTGTTGTTGAGATTTGTAATATGGGAGCTTCATTTTAGATCATCTTGAATAGTCAATCCAAGGAAAGATGTTTTTTGGGCTATTTTTACAGGCATGTTTTTATCATCAATTGTGCTGGAGGTTTTTCTTTAGAGAGTGGATTCCGAAAGTTTAGGGAAATAGTTTTACTAGTGTTTATGATAAGTTTATTTTCCTGGATCCATTTTACTAATGCCTCTAGGACTGTTTGTGCTTCTTTTTGTAGAGTTTGTTGGGTATTTGTTTTAATAATCATGTTTGTGACATCTGCAAATAGGACCATTTTTCTCTTTTGTAGGGTCAGGGGCATGTCATGGATGTATAATAGAAATTGTATGGGCCCTAGGATTGATCCTTGTGGCACTCCATAGTTTATCATTTTAGGTTGGGAAAAATGGGTAGAAATCTTTTTATCTCTGACATACTTGATTGTAACTACTTGACAAAACGATTTAAGAGGTAAGAATTAACCCATTGATATGCAATGCTTCTAATTCCCAATGTTTCAAGTTTGAATAACAGTATGTGATGGTCAGTAAAGTCGAATGCCTTCAATAGATATAGAAACAAACCAATGGGTATTTCTTTCTGATCTAGAGCAACAAGAATGTCATTTAGAAAGGTGAAGATAGCTGTGTCTGTAGATCTACCATTTCTGAATCCATGTTGTGCCTCTGTCAATATGTTCTTTGAATTGAGAAAATTTTTGAGTCTATCATTAAAAAGCTTTTCTAGAATTTTTGAGAATCCAGATACTAAGGATATCGGTCTGTAATTCATGAGATTGTGAGTGTTGCCTTTTTTGAATATAGGTTTAACTTTTGCTTTTTTGAGAATTTCTGGGAAGATACCTGTCATGAAGGAGTGGCTACAAACGTGAGTGAGCGATTCTATTATGTTTGATGCAGTATGTTTAATGAGGGTGTCAGGGATATTATCCAGTCCTGTAGAGAATTTGTTTTTCATTTGATTTATGAAATTTATTTTTTTATATTTCTGCAGGTGATGTTTCACAGATTTATATAGGAGAGAGTGAGAGAGAGAGAGTGAGCACATTGCTTTTGTTTTGTTTTGTACTTTGGCAATACACTGATCATTCATTAACAGTTTGGCCTGTTTAATTACTTTCTTCAAGATACTTTTGTATGCTTTGTAATAAGAAATGAAACCAGAGCTACATTCCTGGTGAAGGATTTTTTCATGCATGATTAGTTTCCTTTTACATGATGTTTTGATTCCTTTTGTTATCCATGATTTGTGGTTTTTATTTATTATTTTTTTCAGTTTTTGGGAGAAAACAGTGTTGAAATAAATTTGGAATATGCTTATGAATAAGCTAAATTTGGTATTCGTGTCTGTTGCCTTGTACACCTTCTCCCAGTTTTCTGAATTTATTAAAGAGTTAAATTTGTGTAAGTTTTCCTGAGAGAAGTTTCAGCTTTCTCTATACAGTGTTTCCTTAATAACTTTTGTGTTCATTTTTAGTTTGAGTATTTGCACTGTATGGTCACTAAACCCTGTTATATATGTAACAACTGAATAGCTGCAGTTATTTGTGTCTATTATAATTTGATCAATGGCAGTACTGCTGATTTTAGATATTCTGGTAGGTTGATTTATAATTAATGAAAGTTGTACATTGGCTTAAGATTTGGACTAGAAGATGAAATTGGAGCAGGTGTGAGAGTGACAGGTGTGTCCGTTGGGATAGGATCATGAAATGGAGGTGGTGGTAGGGGGGTAGGTGGAGATGGAGAAGGTAGTGTAGAGGTAAGTGTTGATAGAGGAATAGATGGGGATGAAGTGTGTGGCTGTAAGGATGAAAAAGAGCTCAACACTTGTGTTAACATGGCACCAAGTTTCTGCTTGCCTACCTGATTTCGATGGAGACCATGTTTTGTAAATAGGTTTCTTGAGAGATTGTCAAGATCAAGTAGTGTAATTGTTGTATCTTTCAAGTGATGTTTTAAATGTTTGTTTGCCATTTTAATTTCATTATTTGTGGTAATGTTGTTGTGCCAGGGGGGCAGAGTAGTCATGATGACATTAGTGTGAGTGGCAGTCTTTAGAATTGTTTGTAGATATTCTTTTGGGTTAAATTTACTGCCATGATTTATGTCGTTTTGCTCACCTATAATTACTACTGTGTCGCGATTGTATTTATCTTCATTTTTTAAAGTTATTTACTATCAACTGTTAAAACATAAATATTATAGACAATTTCAACACCTCATTCTCAGAGACACACAGATATAACACATTTTTCATAACTCAGGTTGGGTATTAAATTTAAAAAAGTTCTTATGGATTTCCAACTTGCTGTATTTTCCCCATAACTTAAATTCAGTACTTCCAAAATAATTTAATAAATTTATCAACTATTATTTTAAATTTAGGTGATCTCTCCTATACACAGCATTTTGAAATTCTCCACAGCCTTTTAAAATTCTCTTCATTACTGATGACAAGGCACACATAATTACCATTAATTTTTTATTTTTTTACTTTAAAGTTTATTTGTCATATGTTATAAAAATCATCATCATGAAATACATTAAGGAGTTCTGTTTTTAATAAATAAATTCTTGCTGAAAATTCTACTGAAGAATGAGAAGGAAATTGGTGCATATAAATGAATCAAAAGTTTCTTTATAAATTTCAGTGTAAGAAACCCACAGCTGAGATAACACATACAGATTTCTTGAATGAATAATTATTAAAAAATATTTTGTGAATACAACAACAATGAATATTATTTGATGTTGTATTCCATTTTAATTATTCACACATTTCACAATCAGCTTTAGTCCATTGCAAGTTCCTGGTTATATTTTTAAATATAATACACTAACTTTGTATTGTTTGCTTTTTTAAATTCAGTTTATGTAATCAGTTTTATTATCAAAGCACTGAAATGTAAATTAGAAACTAATAATAATATCACAACCGCTGTTTGAATATAGCATGCCCTTGACAGAAGCATATCAAGAACTTGCACCCTTTTTACCAATTGTTGAGGGCTGTCTCCCCACTTCCTTCTCTAAGGGATAGAAAATTAAT